CCTCTCCGTTCTTCAATTTAATTTGCAAAGTATGCTGACCTCAAAGCTCTCCCACCTTGGAAAACATTAACTGTGATGAATATGCATCAGAGTTATTGTGTTCATGTAAACAAAAATTCTCTAGAGATATCAAAGATCAGTGGAGCATAATGGCTAATCCCATGGGAGGTAGAACCAGATGTCTGGACTTAAATTCCAGCTCCTACACTTAATATTCAGCTTTGTATTAGCCATTATTCCCCCACTTTTTCTTATTTTATATATATAATGATGAGTAGAGCAATAGTGCTGCTGAGTTCATATCACTGTTATGGACATTGAAGGCACTTAACACATGTTCTGCCCTATAGCAACTTTTTCATACATATTGATCACCATTCAAGGAGCCCTAGATCTCCAAGACAGCTACAAAAACCTCCAGTGCTACATTTTCCATAACACTGTGCAAAGCAGCACAATAGTCTTAACAATTTAAGTGATATTTTCTTTCTCATATCTTTATTTCCCCACACACTTCACTAATACAGACTTTCAAATAAAGTAATGTTCATTCTAGCATGTGGACTTACAGAATTAATGTGATGTCTTATTGAGCAATTTTTTATTTACCATGGAATTCCTGTCACATAAACAATTTATTGAATCATACTAGAAAAAGTAAATCACAATGGAATGGTTGTAAAGAAACTACTATTTATTAGGCATCAGTTCTATTGTAGGGCAATAATTAGCCATTTGAAATGTGATCATGGAATTTTTCAAAGCATACTTCTAGGTAGAGATCATTGTATATACTATACAGACAAAGTGAGGCTGAGATGGAGTTTGTCACTTACAAAAGTCGAAGTCTTATGTGGATCTTAAATAACCTGAAAACCAATTTGAAAGTAAAACAGACAGTTCATTGGACCTGATTTAGCTATGCAATCAATGTTAAAACATCTCTCAACTCAATACAAAGTAACTTTAAAAATTCCGATTAAAATGTCTGAAACAATAAACATAGGCAAAATTTTCACTGAAGAAACTACTTCAACATTGCTAGGTTGATATTCAAAGTTAAAATCAGACAAGCTCACACATCTTTCTTCATGCAGTTTTGCCATAAAAGAAAATTCTCATCAGGTTCTGAAATTCTGAGTAGAATATAAAAGAACTGTGTCTCCAGATTCAAAATAAGATATTTCTAAATTAATTTGGCTGCCATTTCAGCAAATATATATGTGTGTGTTGTTTTGACAGCTTGTCAACTGGCTGACAATTCTGAACATCACATTCATTGCAATTTACTATTGGTAAATTTCTCAATTAGAATTTTATTTTTCACTTTCAGGACAATGAAATCCCTCAGTCCTTGCTGGCATTCCTCAGGGCATACAGGTGCAGGCGCTGGCATGTCTGCAGTAGCAAAGGAAGAAAAATGAAACAAGGGAGAAGGGGAGGGAAGAGGCTGACTGAGAGAGAACAGTGGTAATGGGGAGAGAAAGGGGATAGTAGCGACCTTCATCCTGATATTCACCTTCATGAGAAATGAAGGGAATAATTCACACTTGACAAAAAAATAGCTCAGCTGCCTCTGCTTCCTTTAACCACAGAGGCTGGAATCCAACAGAAACCAGAGAAGCAATGCTTAAAATCAATATGTAAGGGAAGCTACAAAGGTAAGGTGGGGAACAAATTAATAAAAATAATCTTCAAAGCCACAACAACAACCAATTATACAACACTTGCTTACTCTATGCCATTCGTTTACCTTGTATTTATCATGCAATTCTAACACAATGAAGGCAAGATGGGAATTACTATCCTTGCATTATAGCTAAGGAAATTAGGCAATAATTTAACTATCCCAAACTTCAAAGTCAACCCGATAATAAGGGATGGAATCAAGATTCAAGCTCATACTTGCGACTTGAACACATTCTCTGTGGTTTCTGTAGGACATGTCACAGGCTAAGTATTTAAAGGATTTATGTGTATATGCATATGCATATATGAGCATTTAAATTTCTTCTCTGTTCATAAGAAAATATGTGGATAATATATCCATATATGCGTATGTTTATATATATATTTACAGGCACACATACACATTGAAGTGTATTTAATAATGCCTTTAGAAGATTTTCTTAGCTGGAAATGGCCTTGACGTTTGCAGAAGTTTCTGAGGTTTCCCTCGTCAACATATTTATCTGGTGCATGACTTATATGCACAGAAAAAGGGAGCTTCTGACATATTTATAATCAACAGACACAGACTTGGCATTAAGATGGAGAAATCGCAATAATGAGACAAAAATAACAGCTTCTCTATTTATCACTTATTAGTAATTAAGATGATGTTTGCTGCATATACTAGAGACGCTAATAATTATTTAAAATTCTCTTACTGAAATAAGGATAAAAAGATGAATTAGGCAAGTTTTCTTACCTAGATGAGTTAAGCAAATAAAAAGAGAGAGAGGGAGAGAGAAAAAGAGAAGAGAGAGAGAGAGAGAAGGAAAGAAAAAAGAAAGGAAGAAAGAAAAAGAAGGAAGGAAGGAAGGAGGGAAGGAAAGGAAGGAGGAAAGGAAAGGAAGGAGGGAAGGACAGGAAGAAAGAAAGAAAGGAAAATTATATAAGGTTTCTCAGTTGTTTGCATGTCAGAATTTAAAAGAAAAAGAAAAATGGAGATGTTTAGCTTCTTTGTGTGTTTCTTTTTTATGCTGGTGTTGATGGTGGATTACTTCCCGCTAGGAAATCATAAAAGTTTCCCTAAAAAAAGTGTTATTTCAGCCAGCCCAACCATAGGGAAGAGATTTAGTTTTGATAAGAAGAAAAATAAACAAAAATAGGATCCCTTGCACAAGGCAAACAATCCTTGCAGGAGAAATATATGGATATTATAATGAAGACCTGAAATCACTGTGATGGGTGTATCTACCAAAGTTACAAGATGCAAAATGAAGACAAGTCATTAAATATCCCTGTGGCTAAGGATCCTAAGAACTTTTATTCTACAGAAAACAAACACCTATGGAATGTAAGATTTTCTCCCAGCATTAAGTACATGTATTTGTTAAATAACAAGGTTTGAATCAACTGTAATATGCCAGTAGGAGGCATTGAGATTGGACGTGTAACAGTGATGATGAGAATGAAGTGAGATATGGCTGAAGTCAGTAAGTTAACTACTATTAGTTACCAGTCAGTAACTAATTAAAAGAATGTAGTGCTGCAGAGGCTTGAAGGGGGAGGGAAAGATGCAATAATATCTTTTACATTACGTACATAGATTTCAGAGTATATTGGGATCACTGATAAAATGACAGAAGTCAGGGAACAGAAAGCAATTGGTTTGGTTTTTCAGATGTAGTTTGAGCTGCGTTTGGGACGTCCAGTCTGAAATATTTAGGAAGTGACTGAAAATTTAAGCTACTCACTTATGCAGGGAATTTAAAGCCAACCACATGGAGCAAATGGCTGAAGACATGGACTGATCAAGAGCGTCAATGGAACAGAAGGGGAGAGAATGGAAGGACAGGAAAAATAGATAAGAAACAAGAGGAGGAGGAAAACAACGAGAAGAGAAAAAGGGTGAGAATAAAGAGGAGGGATAAGAAAATGTAAGGGAAATGGAAAAGAACTACAAGAAACAAAATAATCTTAAGGTATAAATGATAAGTCACTCAAATATAGAAGAAGGAGATGCAGCTGAGGGAATAAAACATTTTTCTAAAATAAATTAAATAATTTATTTTCTATTTTCTAAATTTCATAATTTCTAAAATAAATTAAAATGTTAGGAATACATTTGGCAGATAAGGGACATTCTGCATTATGGCTGATAATGGGCACCAAATTTAGCTTTGAAAGCCACAATCAATACTGTACCTTGATTTGTATCTACAGTAAAGATGTTGAGGGCACCAGTAATCCATATATTTATCCCTGGGGTTACTATCTGTAAGTATTTGTAATTTTCTGAGCAGTTTGATTTTATTACATAGCACCATTGATGGGGTTTTTCTCTGGCAAAAATTTACTGTGAAATTGGGGTCTTGAATTGATGAATGTTCATCTCTATATTTTCCTAATTAGGGCCTTCAGTTTATATCTGTACCTGTGTTTTACTGGTATCATGGTCACCTGCTTCTAATTTGTGTGACTTTGATGCATAGCATGTATCCTTAAAGACAATTTAAAACCAACTTGGGTGTATGTTGAATATATAAAAATGACCTTTGTGATGTTATATTTTGAGTTGTACATTTGCCTCCTACTTTCATCTGATAAGGAAGAGCTCTAAAATCCCTCCACTTATCATATAATGCTTGGGGATTGGGAATTGGCAGTTCAGGATAGACAAGCAGATCCAAAAAATGGGGGAAAACAAGATTAAGAACATGTTTTGGAATATATATTGCTTCGGATAAAGTGTAATAGATGCTGTCACCGTTCAGAGAAAGTGGGAGTGTGTCAATGGAGATAGCAATGAGTCCTAAAAATTGGTCTCAATAAACAAGTTGTCCCACAGAAACCTGAAACCTCATTAGTAACAGTGACATATAATCCACTATAGACACAAGCCAGTATCTGACTGAGTGCAGACCTCAATGGTTTTCTATTTCTCTATGTACTTCATCTGCATGTGAATATACACAAACAAATAATTAAACATGAAACAAATATCAGTGGGATTAGCTTGACATGTTGGAACAAATCTTGATAAATCCATCTTGGTAACAATGCTCAAATGACAAGTCCATGAGAAGAATATAAATTCAGCCTATTGAAGTATTATAGTATAAGAAGAGATATTTTAATAAAATAATTTCTATTACTAAGGACTAAAGCTATTGAGCTCCGGAACTTAGGCCAAAAAGGGGATTTGGAAATGCAAATTAGAGATAAGACAGTAAAAAAAAAAAGTCTTTGATTCACCAATACACCATCCCTAATGCCAGAAACTATTTTAAAGATGACTCTTCATAGTTCTGTGAAATTAGAAGCATACATACCCAAAATGGACATCTCTGGCACAGTAGCATGATAAGGTCCATTAAGAAACTCCGGTGCATTGTCGTTGATGTCTTGAACTTTAATAATAAATTCAGAAGGAGGCTCAAGAGGTTTGTTTGTCTCCCAGTCCACTGCCTGAGCTGTTAAGGTGTACTCAGCCTTTTCCTCTCTGTCAAGTCTTTTTATAGCATGGATATCTCCAGTTACATCATTTATTTGAAAGATTGTCCCAGCTCCATCACCTGATAGGATATACTTGATTTTTTTGCTTCCAGGATCCAGATCTGTGTGTAGCTAAAATGAAAAGTAGCAATAGTTAGTGATGGAGCAATCTGCACATTTATTTTTTAACTGCCTCTTCTTTCTGAATCAAGTAGGTTCTTTTCTAGACAACTTTATGAGTTTCTGCTAAGTATCTGCTGCTAAGTGAACAACTACTCTATGCAGTTATGTGGATATTGATGCATTCGTTGAATGCTGTTGTTACTATTAGCTAACTTTTATGAATCAGTACCTGTCTGCCCAGAACTATGAGTTACTTCTAATAAAATCATGGCCTTAACTTTTACAAAGATGAGTTAATATTTCATACGAAATATGAAAAAGAAATCTCAGAGTTTCAACAAGGCACATAATAACCTCACCAAGGTTCACATTTGATAGTTTCAAGTATGGAAGTGCAATACTTCAACTAAGATTGCCAGTTACACTTACAAAAGCAAAAATTACTGTAATAGCTTGACTTATGTCAACATCTTCTAGATTTGGTAGGGTTATTTTGTTTTCTTTAATTCTTACAATTGTTCTGGCACAGAAAAATAATTCCCATTTTATAGAAAAGAGCATTGAAACCAGAATACTGGAGCCTATTTTGTAGGAATGGAACTTCTCTGGAAAATGACTTTTCAGTAGAAATTCAACTCCATCTCAAGTCATGGTGACAAATATTTATTGAACAAATATTTATTGAGTTTGTGTATCAGGCAAATACCCTGACTGAGATGCAAGGGTAGGCGCTCTGTTAAACAGACTCCCTGGTTCTAAAATCCTCATAGTTTGTTCTCAGGAGGTACACAAGAGTGTTCTGATATGGGCTGTTTCTCCCTTATACTATGATGACTTTTGTTTAAAAGGAAAAAAAAGTAAAATAAAACAAGAATATATTATTTTGAGGTTTTACATTATTAAAAGAAAAAAAATCACTGAATGACAGTGTCAAAATACCACTCAAGTGTACATATTTTGCTCGGATACTTAAACCGCCAATATAGTTCCAGTTATTGCTCCATAAGATTTCAAATATTTGTTCCTTGAAAAAAAAAACTGTCTTGTGAAAAGAAATTAGTGGAAATTCAAAAGCATTGTGTTCTCATGGGTACTTTTATTCAGAACAGGCTCTATCGGTTTTTTCACCAATTTGAATTGTATTTAGGGCTTCAATAAATGAAAAGAAAGGATTATAAAAAAGACATAAAATAGCAACAAAGAATCCAAATGCATCTAGATTTCATACTTACTTTTGAATATTTTAAAAAGTTAAACCAAAGATGACAGCAAATATTTATTGAATCTCAAAATGTATCCTTTTTCATTTATTGTATTAAATTTATGAACAAGAACAAATATTGAAATGCCACTTTATCTTAATGAATGTTGGATTATAATTCATTAATGTGGTATTAATCCTAATTTATGATCATTTTAATTTATGTGCATTTTAACATTTCCATTAGCATTTTTATTAAAAAAAGAAAATTTGAATAATATATTATTCATGGAGATTGCCACTCACATATAAGCCATTGTGGAGACACAGAAGATATTGATATGTGTCATTTTGTTCACAAATTTCTGCTAATTAACAAATAAACCATTAAAATTGATATTATTTATGTTAAACTTACTTGTATCATATTTTATTTTCAACTACCAATAACCTCTGATTAGTAAATTATATTACAATCTTAGGTTTTGATGACCTTTTGTTTAAAAACAAAGGAAAAGAAGAATAAAGCATAGAGTTTTGAAAAAATAAAACCCACAGATAATGCTCAGGTCTAACTATATGAACTATACAGATTAACAAATTTGTTTGAACTTTAGTTACTTCCCTTTTAATATGGGAATAAAACATACACCCTGCACAATTGATTTTGGAACCTGGGACCATTCATCTATATTAAAATTATTTTAAAATGGAGGTGGCAATTTTAAGTGCATAATAGTTAAAACCACCTTACCTTCATGACAAATTCAACCCAGCTCAACTATCTGAAAATACTGAGATAAGGCCATCTGCAATATAAGTGAAATCAAAGTTCCTAACAGTTCATTCAAAAATAGCTTTTACACATACAGTACCCTGAAAAAATAGTGAAAAAACTTGTAAGTATTGTGTTCATTCATTTTACTCCAGAAATTCACTTTTAGCTCATCCTACTAAAATATAGATCTGCAGGTCAATAATAGTCAGAATATTGATCTTTTATGTTCATTTCTTCATTCTATTATTTGTATTACACACACACACATACACATGGAAATGACTTATTCAAGTAACTAACTTGACATTACAAAAAAAAAAAAGATTGTGTGTGTGAAAACAGCAATTAACAGACAGAAAAAGCAAAGGCACATAAGTCTCCATATGTGGCCCTCTGCTTTTGCTATTTTTCCTCACATGCCTTTCAGACCCTCCTCACATAATGCAGCATCATTGTCTCTGTCAATTCATCCCACCCAAAGACTCTCTCTATGAGATTGTGGAGACAAATGTGCATCAAAAGTTCATATTTTGGGCATCATCTGGAAGTGCCAGTATCATCTCTTATAAAGGCTCCTTCTGTTAGTTTGAGCTATGTAAGGGTCACACGCAAATTGGCCTGCATAGATAAGACTCCCTCCACTGGCAGTTGTACAAAGCATCATTGGCTCACTTAACAAGCTGGTAGAGAGCACTTCATGCGCTTCTCTGTATTTTCTGAGTTGCTCTTTTCATACTATTTTCTGTGTATTTTCTTAGAGTAATAAAAAACACCAGACATGGTCTCTGCTGTCAAAGTCACATAGTTTTGTGGAAGATAAACACAAGTAGAAGTTTTAGGGCAAGTATAGACATTGTTGGCGTCGTCATTCTTACTATTATCATTATGTTTCAACTGTGTCCTATCTACTGGACACTTCTTATGTATATTTATATGTTGTCAGGGCAAACCTGAGACCAGCTGGAGATATGCAGTGTTAAGAATGCAATGGTGATTTCAGTCTTCCATATTATGTCTTCAAGAATCATAGCAGACTGCTAAATAATTGAGTTGAATCATGAGTATCAGCATCATTACTCCCTCATAGTCTTCCATATATTTGCATAACACCTCCCAATTAAGAGACAAGTTTACAGTATAAAAGTCGTGGGAAGATGCATTTGCATTTCATTCTCTTTTGTATTCCTTCTGCCTAGTAAAATGTTTGTCATATTGTTGGAAGCTCAATAAATACTTGTGTAAAAATGTGAATGTAATGGAAGGGAAGGAAAGAACATTTATTTTATTTGGAAAATAATGATTTAAAGAAGAAACAAAGAAATTTAGAAAAATTAGAACCAGGAAATTATAATCTTTCTTTGGTAAATTCAAAGCTCTTGAAATTTCCCAAAAATGTCTTCAAATTTAGCAGTCAATATAGGAACTAAGATATAATAGAAGGTTTGATGGAAGGAAGGGTGGATGGAATCACAAATAGATGCATAGGTGGTAGATAAATAATAAATGAATGATAGATACCAATTATATCATACTCAGATACCACCATTCACAGAATCAAAGTAAGGATTTAAATCACTCTCATGGTTTTGCATATTTTTGGTCAGAAAAAAATCTCACCTTTTTCACACAGACTCCCCCAAACCCTGTAATAATCCTACAGAGTAGATCTGGTAGGAGATAAATTATTTTTGTGAGTATCATTTTAATATAAAATTGTGATTCAGTTATTAGAAAGGATCAGGCAGTCCATTCTGAGTGCCTCTCCTGCTAGAATGAGATGAGAGATTGAGTAGACTGGAGGGAGAATTACATCCTTAACTCAAAATACATGTAGCTGTGGCATCAGACTTATTTTGAGGATCAATTCTATCCAGAAGGACATCACGGGAGTCTCTCCAACTTTCTATCTTCTCAAGAAGTATATAAGTTATGAAGAGAAAATCAGAAACTTTGGAGACTGCTGCAACATAACTCTCTTGTCATTTACTGATCCTGGTTTTTTATGAATCTCCTCACACTTGGAGAAAATAGCAAGATGACCACTCTTGAATTAAATTATGTTAGCACTGTTTTCTGAATATCTAAGTGCAGTGCCTGTTACGAGCTATTGATCAATTAGTACATGAACAGTAAAATCACAGACATTCAATTTCAAAGATGGGTGCAACATTTTGACACAATATGTTTTTGCCCTAAATGCTTGAAGTGGTAAGAATGCAGGACTATGCTATACAGCAGACCAACAGGTAAGCTGGTAAGAGAGTAAAGGGGAGATATGGAAAAAGGTCAAGAGAGGTGGAGAAGTTCTTTGATTCTGAACTGTTTCCCCAGAAGGACCAAGAGTTAGTCTCAAAATCTAGTCATTTTGACTTGTAATTTAGGCTCCTTGTGTACAACAGAATATCTTACAAAGCAAGCTGACCAAACATGAAATATATCATTAAAGAAAGTATGATGTCCTAACATTGTGTTCAAAGAGAACTGGAATTCACCTGTCCTTCATATTGAAGTACTAAATAAACCATTATTGTTGGTAGATAGAGTGGGAAGCAGAGTGGTACCCTGCTGCAATGAATAATTAGTAAAATGTCTTTCTATGCTGACATGTTTCACTACTACTGTAAATCTAAAGAATCCAATAATCCAAATTACTTTTCATTCAATCATTCCATTGTTAAACTCAGAAACAAAATGCAACATAAAATAGTATGCGACAGGCATAAAAAGACCTCAAGATTTTAGCTATTCAACTTAGAAATACGCAATTACTCTTATGATCACATATTCCTCAGTAATAGTAACTTAGTGAAAGAACAATAATCAAAGTGAATATCCTATAGAACAAGTTATGCTTAAATTTCTTTTAGGAGGTAAAAGTCTAAAGAAGAAATAATCACTGATTGAATGAAAAGAACACAGTATCCTCTGCTGGGAATTATCTCTGCTTCAGATAAAAAATTATATAAACACACACACATACATACATACATGTACACACACATATGTTCCCTAATATTTCATTAAGCAAAT